GAATGCCAGGTGATATGCAGAATCCAGACACTTGGCATGAACAGCAATTCCCAGTAAATGTGAGGCCCGATTGGAATCCTAATACCCAAGCAGGACAGGAAAACTTGAGAAATTATCAGACAGCCCTTTTAGCAGGAATGTGGGCTGCAAGTAAAAGGCTTACAAATATGATTAAAGTGCTAGAAACACAGCAGGAGCCCGATGAGAGCCCTGAGAGATTTTATGAGTAGCTCTGTAAAGTTTACAGAATGTATACACCTTTTGATCCTACTGTTCCTGAAAACCATCTGCTAATTAATACAACTTCTGTTACCCAGTCAGCACCAGACATTAGAAGAAAAATCCAAAGGCAGGAGACTTGGGAAGTCATGAATATAATGCAATTGTTGCAATTAGCTGGGAAAGTGTATGTGAATAGAGAGACAGTGAAAGAGAAAGAGAGCCAGGAAAGAAGATAGCAGTAGCTATGGGAGCCAAGGAAGAGAAGGAAAAAGAAAGACAAGGCTCAAGGAAAAGAAAAACCAGGACTTGAAGGAAAGGAAGGATACTGGCACATTGTTGTCTGTGATGGAGGACAGTGACTGACAGACTGGGCTCAATGCAGCTAGGCCTCCATAAGCCCATGGTTGATATATAGATAGGGGGCCAAAATATGTCCTTAATGGTGGAGAGTGGCCCAGAACATTCAATAGTAACAGCTCCAGTTGCCCCTCTGAGTGGAGAGCACATCCAAGTGATTAGTGCCACTGGAATTTCAGAAAAGTGCCAGTTTTTCTATGAAAGGACATGTGAAATTGGAGGACATAAGGTGAAACATGAATTCTTGTATATGCCAGAATGTCCTATTCCATTATTAGGAAGAGATTATTATCTAAATTGGGAGCTACAATAACTTTCATTCAATGGGGAAATGCATCTCTGAATTTAGACCCAGGAAAGGATCTCATTATGATGGTAACTACTAAAAGAGAAGATGAATGGCAATGTTACAATGTGGATGATGTTTTTCCAGGGTCTGCAAGAATTAATAACTATGTTCCCTAGAGTATGGGCAGAGGAATCTCCCCCAGGCTTAGCTAAGAATCATCCACTCACGGTTATAAAATTAAAAGACAATTTGGCCCCATTGGTGTAAAACAATATCCAATGTCCAGGCAAGCCCGAATTGGAATTAAACCCCATATCATGAGATTAAAGGAATTCGGACTTATTAGAGAATGTACATCACCTTGGAATACCTCTTTGCTGCCTATTCAGAAACCTGATGGGGACTATAGGCCAGTGCAAGATCTGCAGGCTGTAAATGACAGAACAGTAACGCTGCACCCAGTGGTCCCTAACCCCTGTGCTTTGTTGGGTCTGATACCTCCAGAAACAGCATAGTTTACTTGTGTGGATTTAAAAGATGCCTTCCTTTGCCTTCTCATCTCTCCCCTCAGGCAACCCATCTTTGCGTTTGAATGGGAAGACCACAGTGATGGGAAAAATACTCAGTTTACTTGGACCAGATTGCCACAGGGATTTAAAACTTACCCACACTTTTTGGAGAAGCCCTAGCCAAGGACTTGCTTGCCTTCCCTGTGGAACTATATAGCTGTGTCCCTACTGCAGTATGTGGCTGACTGACTGTTATGCAGCTCAACCCAAGAATGGTGCTGGGAAGGCACCAATAAGTTGTTGCTGCACTTACAAGAAAACTGGATAGAAGGTATTGTGGGAGAAAGCCCAGATTTGTGTGCAGCATGTTAAATATTTAGGATTTCAAATAACACAGGGCATACATTGCCTAGAAAATGAAAGGTTATTAGTGCCATCCCTAAGCCCCAAACAAAGAAGCAGCTGAGAGAGCTTCTTGGGGTGGCAGGCTTCTGTAAAAATTTGGATTCTGGGTTTCATAGAAATCTCTAAACTCCTTTATGAAGTCCTAAAGGGACAAGAGGAGAATCATCTGCATTGGACTGTAGAACAGGAGGAAGCTTTTTAAAAAATAAAATAAAATTGACTTAGGCAGCTGCCCCAGCCCTAGGCATACCAGATGTAAAGTGACCTTTTACTCTATATGTGACTGAAAAAAAAATCATGTGGCCCTTGGAATGTTGACCCAAGAAATAGGCCCATGGAATCAACTGGTGGCATATTTGTCTAAAAATTTAGATTCAGTAACAAAAGGATGACCTTATTGTTTTTGGGCCTTAGCAACTTCAGTTCTGTTGATTCAAAAAACAGACAAGCTGACTTTAGGTCAGGAACTTACTGTGCAGATTCCACACCCAGTCCTAGAACTGCTAAATACAAGGGAGTATCATTGGCTTTCAAATAATTGGGTTACTCAGTATCAAGTCCTTCTCTGTGAGAATTCCTGCTTGTGGTTTGTTTCTATAAAAACTTTAAATCCTGCTACCTTCTTGCCCACAGAGACAGGCCATCCCGATCGTGACTGCTTGAATGTCACTGAGGAGCTCTTTTCCAGTCTCCTTGACTTGCAAATGACATCTTTGTCTGATGCTGACCTTGTTCTGTTCATGGATGGGAGCAGCTTCATGGAAGATGGGGTTCATCATGCTGCATATGCAGTAACCATGAAGGATGAGGTAGTCCTAGCCAGGGCCTTCAGTGCAATGTGCTAAGCTTTGGGCACTCATACAGGCACTCTGATGGGCAAAGGGTAAAAAGGTGTATATGTATATATAT